TTCTTCTTATAACTTACTACTTTTACTTTCTTTTACTTCTTAATAGTCTTAATATTTAGATTTATAAGATCTACTACTTATAAAAGCTTATACGTAAGTCTCTCTTTACTAGTTTTTTCTATACTTAATTAGCGCCTATATATATATATATATATATACTTTTATAATACTTACTAGCTTTCTTAGATAGTTTTATAAAAATTAGCTATATACTTTAGCTTACTTACTAGTTTCTTACTTTAAATAGAATATTTAAGAATATATTCTCTTATACTAAATAAAGTTTTTTTAAAGTACGCTTTTTACTACTATATTCTTATAACTATACTTTTATAACTATACTTCTTTCTTAGCTTTTTTCTTCTTAACTCTTTAGCTACTATACTCTAATATATAACTTAAATTAATTTAAAATATCTACTACGTTCTAGCTACTTAACTTACACTTACTTTATTTATACTTTTTATTCTATTTACAGCTATAATAATTATACTTACTACCTCTTCTTAGTCTTTACTTACTAAAGCTATATATACTATATATCTATAAATCTTTATTTAGCGCGTAAAAGATTTAGCTTCTACTTTATAAATAGTTTACTTAGTATAAAAAAAATAACTAATATACTAGAGCTACTATTAAGTATTTCTAGTATTCTCTTTACTTCTAAGTTAAACTTAGTAGTACTTAAGTTCTTTTATATATTTTTAATAGTAAACGTTATTATACTCTTAATAAAAAGAATAGTTTTACTTAAAATAGTACTTAAACTATTTTTATAGTTACTTACTACTATAATTAGTATAGTAAAAGCTATTATATACTTAGTAATAAAACGCTTCTTAAAAAAGTTATTAGAAGTACTAATTATAATATTATTAATTATAAAGAAGAATATTTTTAAGAAGATATTAGTATTAGTATTAAGTTTAGTTAAAGTAGTATCTTAGTATATAGAGTTCTTAAAAATATAAAAAGTTCTTTAAGATAGAAAGTTATAGAATAAAAAAAGAAAAAAAAGAAAAGTATTCTCTATATATACTTTTTATAATTCTTTTTAGACTACTATTTTCTATACTATAGTTTACTTATATAAATATTTTTTTATATTTTATAGTAGTATAGTACTATAATTTAATATTACTTTAAACTTAAAGTTTACTTATACTTATCTAAAATTCTACTTATTTATACTTATAAGTAAGAAAAAGGCTATATTATACTATACTTTAACTTTTATTTTAACTTTTATTTTTTTTACTAAAGTCTTTACTTAAGTACTAAGAGCTTTTTTTTAAAAAGCTTTTATATTAACTTTTAAAAATATTTTAATATTTTTTTAGCTTTATAGCTTTATAGCTTTTTTATTACTACTTTTAAGTTTACTTTTAAGTTTACTAAAAATACTTTTTATTACTATTACTTTTTATAAGTATATTATTACTATTTATATTTATAGTAAATATTAAAAAAAAAGTTTTATTAATACTTATAGCTATATATAGTAAGTATAAAGTATTTAAAAAATATACTTATATTAAGATTACTATATAGAGTTACTAACTATATTTTATTACTTTACTTTATATTAATACTTTACCTAAATAATAGTAAAGTAAAAGTATTTATAAAGCTTACTAATATACTTACTATTATTATTATTATTTTAAATATATACTTAAAGTATAGTAATTTAAATATTTAAAAAAAAGTATTAGTAGAAAAGTAGCTTACTACTTTAAAAGTTATATAAAAAAATAAAAAAAAGCTAATAAGTTTTATATATATAGATTTCTATACTTATTTTTAGAAAAAAAAAGTATTTTATAAATAAAAAAGATTCTATATCTTATATATAGTATATAATATAGATAAAAATACTAGTAGTTATTATTATATAGTCTAATACTACTATAAAAGTTAAAAAAATAATTATATAAGTTTAGTATAGTATTATAAATAGCTATTAAAGATAGTAATTATAGCTCTACTATTACTATTATAAAAATAAATAAGCTATATATTATAAATTTAGTATTATTAAGCTACTTAACTTATTAAAATTATTAAGTTTAGTAGTATTATTAGTAATTAATTAGATAGAACAAAATTTTATCTCTACAAAGTGTAACACAAACTAGAGCTTAAGGCCGCTACCTACTAGATATAATCAGCGAATGAGATGCAATGCAAACCAGAACGTTCCTGTCTAGTCTGAAAACCACTTCGTACTGGTCAACGAGATGAACACACAGCGTGAGCGATGCTCAAGACAGCCGGAGAGAATGCCCACACAAACATCACAGTCGCAAGCCTAGACCCAGTCAGCACAATCGCTACATGTAGTGATGAGTTCTGGCTTGCAGCGAAGTCCATAAATGAAGTATACCTAGGTACCCGGGTATTCCACCGATCACGAAAAGGTCTCGTCTAAACTGGTGATTTTGCATCTCAGGCACTGCAAAGGAGACAAAGCATCCTCTCTCAAGGCCAGCAGCCTGCTCGTCGAATCTGGCCCTATGCGCAGTAGCAGCCGACGTCTTCGTGGAAGTCGCGACGCCAACGACCTGCGTACACCAACCCCCCGGCGGACCCGCAAAAAGTGGGGAAACCGTTCCCAATCCATACTAACCTCGGTCCCAGCCAGAAGCATCACAACGACGCGATCGTGACATGCGCGTCTCTGCAAACGCCATAGAACCCTGCTCTTCTCCTCCGTTTTCCAATTCGTAATCTCTCTCATACCCAGCACCGGCTTTAAGAAGATTCAGAAAGCAGCACTCACCACCATGACGTCGATAACCTCGCAGTCGCATCCCCTGCTACAGGCTTCTTCAGCTGCGTATGCTATTTTGGCGATTGGACATACGGTAATAGATCATATAGTTTGATAGATGTGGCAGTGTGCTGATAAGGCGTTGTAGCTGAAAGGTCTGGATCAGTTCAAACATCCGACGATGAACACACTGCCACTCATGCTCCGTGGTGCGAGTAAGATCGGTTGGTACGAGGGCAGCGGGTTCTTTGTTATCATGAGTAAGTCTACAAGCATACATTATCAGCATGGGGCCTCGCGATTGACATTCCAATAGGCATTCTCAACTACAAGTGGTCGGTCACGGGTATCTACGATGTGTACGACAAGAGCATCGCGGGTGTCCTGACGACCTTGTTGGCAGCAGCGGGTGCGGCTTACTGGAAGAGCAATGATAGACCTACGGCTATCACGCTGGGTGTTGTTGCTATCCTGCAGGGAATTGGTGTGAGGAACGCATCGTACTCGCGCTTGACATAGATATAATGGCATGTGCACAGTAGATTCAAGATGTGTAGGAAAGACACGTTGTTATTATTACTGCTAGTTCAGGCCCACTACTTGAACCTGACATCGTGGAGTCATTATCATAGACCCGTGAATCGTTAATAAAAGACATTATGGGTATAGAACACCATGACAGCACGTGTCCAACTTTTGAACCATTAACCGTGAAGACAAGCAAAGCATTACCCGTACCGTGAACGCCGTCACCTTTCCCTGCGCCATTTCCATACGAATGCGTGCTTCTTTGGCACACCATTCTTATCCTTTTACTCTTGGGCCTCCTTGTTCTTCTGGATGCTGACGGGTACGGAGCGCTTAGCGCTGCTGAGCAGACGCTCAAGGCGAGCGACGTAGTAATCGGCGAAGCTCTTGCTGCCATCACGCTTCCACTCATCGTCGGCCAGCTGCTCGAGACGTAGGCATGTACGGTCGACCATGTCTTCGATTTCCTCAGCCCAGTTGCTCTTCTCAGTGACGCCATCGCTCTTCAAGCTAGCGCCGTCGCTGCCGCCAACGATGGTCTTAATCGACGCGGTGCTTGTCTTCATGAGTGTGGAGGGGAAGCAAGGTGCAACCGAGTTCGTAGGCAAGTCGTCGGAGGTGAAGGTCAGGTACTCTACGATGCGCGGGTTGACGGCCGGGGAACCTAAAGCGATAGGAACTGAGCCCTCAGTCACATCGATGGGGTCAAGGGTCTTACGAGCTTGTCCTGGGTCTTCCTTGTCCCTACCGCCGTCGCTCAACACCTCGGATATGCTCGCAATATCGACTTCTTCGTCCTCGTTGATGGATGCCTCTGGTGAGTAGTTGCTGGAGCCCACATCTCCCTCGCGGTGACGAAGCTTGCGGTCATTGATCTTCAGCTGCGCGAGTCTATCGCCAACCACACTGAAGCCGCGACCGCGTGTCACAGGGAAGCGATATGAAACCGACGGAGCTGGAGAACCGATGATGGGTGTGTTGATGGGTGGCGATGGGTAGGCGGCCTCCAGGGCGGCCTCGTTGAGCGACTCTTGGATAGGGCCTAGAATCCTGGCGACGGCAGTATAGTCCATCTCCGGAGGAGGGTCGACGGGCTCGTAGGGACTGCCTTCAGACTCAGTGGCTGGTGTAGGGTTCGGCACCGACGGGCCATCGGACTGAGAGTCCAGCGAAGTGACCTTGGTCGTAGTGGTAGTGGTGGAAGCCATGATGCTGTTGGAGTTGAGAGCTGGCTTGCGAGTATTCCTGGCTATTTGAACTCGTTAGTATTGCTGAGATATTCCAGCGCTGTGATAGGCCGAGCCAGGTGAAGCAGACTTCTGGTCGCGGACGGTGATGGAGTCGGCGGAAGTGCAGGTTAGCTTACTTGTATCAGCTACTGGCGCCGGGTTATTATAGTGACGCAGTTGATGTTCTGTGATGCAGGAGGTCGAGCGTGAATTTAGTCGCTGGTAGTTGTCCGGTCTGAGTGTGGGGAGTGCGGATGGTGATTGTGGAGAAGGTGCGTGCGCCTGCCCAAGTTCAAGAGCGTCCACGGGTGGAAGCAACGAACGCGTCACGGGCAAACACAGCACCGGAGGTAGCCGCAGGACCTAGACCTTTGTACGAAGAAGATGCTGGGGGTGCAAACGGTTTGTGGGGTGAAATGCGCAATTCAAAGTGATGTGCTGAAAGTTGACTGCATTTGCGCTTCACCTACACCCTCCGCGGTAGATGTTCCAGACCAGCAACACGTATTGAGCCCATACTGCGCTGTCGGATCGCTTCAATTTCGCCCGATGGCGTCCTGAACACGGAAGTGCTGGAGGGCAGATCGTGAAGTGCGATCCCAGACGTGCCCGCCGGCCCACTGTTCGGCTCATCTAAGCCCTCGCTGGTCCTCTCCGTCTCCTTCTTTGCAGCGTACCACGAGGGAAGATTGTAATACGCTCCGCACAGGAAGATGCCGATCCACAGCACCAGTTCGGAGCCGTAAATGACCAGACCCAAGACGTCAAGCTTAGGTTGGAAGACGACTGACACCAAGGAGAAGAGATCTCCCAGGGCATCAATACCGACAAAGATGAAGGATATGCCACGAACGGTCCGGTGAACGTAGACATCCACGTAATGTCTCAGGACACCAGCAGCAAGCAGAGCGGCTGAAGCAACAGCCATGAGGATACTGGGCCAATGCAGTCCCTCTGACTTGGCATGCTGAATGGCGAAGATGAGACCAGCTTGAATACCGCCCATGAGGCACGCCACAGGGACCACAACTGCGAGCGAGCGAAGAACCGACCAACTCTTTGGAATGTTAGCTGTCGTATTCACACTCGAGCCGTTGATGAAACCACTTACCTTCTCATAGTAATAACACTGGATCCACGTCACCAGGCTCAGTACGGTAAGAATCTGAGGCTGTATGCGCAGAGCAATGTTGTAGTCTTCAGCAATGTTATAAACGCCCAAAGGAACCCCAGCCCATGCCCACAGCATCATCATGGTCGGCTGGAGTCCAGTAGCATTGTGCCTGCGATAGTTGATGACGATTTGTGGGATAAGCTAGACCACACTCTTAGCTGTGCTCCTCGATAACGGTTGTTGGAGACGTAGGTACCTGAATGGACCAACACACCTTTTCTGGTCAGCACGGTTACGTTCGAGACCATGAAGAATACGTACTGCTCCCAGCGTTCCTAGTACATTCGCAGCCACCGGTACATCCATGATCAGACAGTGATAGCCGGGATGTGGAGGATGCGTTTGTAATGTTCAAATGCGTATCGTCTGCACGCTCCACTGCGCGTCCACAACCTCCCTCTTATCTACGCGCCAAGAGTAATTCGAAAGCAACAACATGTCTACAATCGCGCTGCGAAGTCACGGATGCACGAGAATTACGAACTCCGATGCCGACGCATAACCCGCAGATGTACCGCCGTCAACGGCGAAGGCGCGATGACGCACGACATGGTTGACCCTGGAACGCGTGCATACCGCCGAGGTCCGATCATGGAAGAGCTTAGAAATCACCAGTTGCTCGCCGCGACATATCACAACCACCACTGAGCTTCCAGACAGCAGAAGATGGCGCAGGAACCGAATGAGAAAGATGAAGGCCAGGATATCGCGGGAAGGCCTGGGTACAAGAAGCTGGCGAATGGCATTATACTCGGTCCAGATGGCAAGCCGTAAGTACCGTCAACTCTCGAATGCGCCGGAAGACATACGCGCTGGACGAGAATCAACTCTACGAACGGGACGCATGCTAATATTTGGGCCCCTACTATAGATGCCGAGCCTGCAACGACCTAACCTCCCTCATGGCCATGTCAGGCAAAATGCCCAAAAAGCGCACACCGGCCGCCGCTCCCACCACGACCGCGCCCTCCCTCCCCGCCGACTGCCCACCCGACGTCGAAGCCCTCGGCCGCTCCTCATGGACCCTCCTCCACTCCATAACCGGCGCATACCCCACGAACCCCTCTCCCCAACTCCAATCCGAAACCAAATCCTTCCTCACCACGTTTGGCAAGTTGTACCCATGCTGGGTGTGCGCCGAAGATTTCCAGAAGTGGATGCAGAAGAACACACCGAGAGTCAGCTCGAGGAGCGAGTTTGGAGAGTGGATGTGCGAGGCGCACAATGCTGTGAATGAGAAGCTGGGGAAGGAGCAGTTTGATTGTAAGAAGTGGGAGGAGAGGTGGAGGACGGGGTGGAAGGATGGAAGGTGTGATTTTTAGGGTCAGGAGATAAGGGAGATGGGGGCATATGGTGTATGATTATGTGTATATGAAGATATTGGGTAGGCGATCTGTTGCATAGCGAAGGACACCACTCTGTACGGATACGAATTAAACACGGGCATTGGGCGGCGTTCAAGGGCACAACAACTCCACACTACAAGCAAGATCTAGAGATTAGAAGAATGGATACGACATGGCTCTATACTCGGCTTCCAACGCGGAGCTTACTGCCCCTCATCTCCAACACTGGTCCGCTACCAGTCCATTCGGTCTCGACCGCACCAAGCGTACTTAGATAACGACACTCTGGTACAAAGCCAGACTATGAAGTCACAGGGTGTAATACAGCACAGCACACGCGACCATTCGCATCTCATACACACAACCGCTTCGTCGAAGTCCCGTACACATCTTCACAAATGCCTCTACCAGCCCTCCCTCCCTCCCACAAATCCCTCTCAACAACCCCAACATGTCGGTCGCCGCCATAGCCGGTGGAATAGCAAGTAAACACAAATCCGACTCCGCATCTTCTCCCGCCAACTCCTCCACAAACATCGACCGCAACTCCGCCATCGCCCTCTCCATACTCCTCTTCCTCATCCTCGTAGCCATAGCATGGTACCTCCGCCTCCACTTCGCACAAAGACGACAAGCCGATTTAGAGCGCCAGTCACAAACGCAATTGGGCAGTGGAAACTTTGAGGTCAACCCAGTAACGGGAAGGGTGGCGTGGAACCGGCAGTGTAGTTCCTGTGGGCATGGTATTCAGGTTACGAGGAGGAGTAGAGCCGCGAGTTTGTGGAAGCTGAAATCCGTGGTAGTGAGGAAGGATTCTGTTGCTACGTCTTCATCTTCATCGACCAGTGCCCCGACCCCAACCTCCCCATATCACAGCGGAGATGTTGAGAAGAGGAAGTGGCCCGGACTAGCTCAGTGGCGGGCGCACGACTCGCGGTCTACAACACTAGGCCCCAATGCCTTTGCTATACACGAGAACACGCTGCCATTGACATCAACAGAGCGTCCTTCACGCACACATTCCCGGCGTCAATCTCTCAGGGGCTCTTTCGATCCACTTCCACTGCACAACCCCATCTACCCCGTTTCAGCACGTCGGCGCAGTTCCTCGCTCTCATATGATGCATATGATAAGCGGTGGTGGAACGAAGTTGCTCGAAGGGGCTCAACGACGAGTCCGACGCGGCGGTCGTTTGTGTTGGACGCTGTGCCGGAGCCGGAGGGGAGGGATCATCTAGATGAGTCGCGGGGAATGAGTGGAAATAGTACAGGAAGTGCGCATGCGTCTTGGAAGGGGAGTAGATGTGAGTCGGTTATCTACGATTGGACGAGGCCCACGGATACGCAGGTGCAGACAAGAGGTGAGATGAACTTTAAAGGCGTGATCTGGGATGGACAACAGCGTAGTAGGAGAGGTACTAGAGAGGAAGAGAAGATTCAACGCATGGATTGGGCGTTGAAGATGTAGCATACTTTGCCAAACAAAGCACTCACATTCATGGGCACATGCAAAGTCAACATCTGCGATTGCAAATAAGCAATTCATTTCTGCCTTTTCCTATCTTACGAACTGTGGTTATAGGAAATTCTTTCTTTCTTCAGAGAGCGCGAATTCGAAGCGACATCTCCTCGTATGCTTTCCTACCGTCACTTGGCTAACATCATGTCTTGCTGCGAATCCAAATTACAGGATGATTGTAGACCCTTCCTCGAATATGGTAATGAGCTCAGACCAGCTAGCTGTGGACAAGTTGCGGAAATCGACTCGATCGTGGTATCTTGTGTATATCTCGCATTTGAGGGGGGAAACATGGACAAGTTTATCGCATAATCTCCTGGTAGATGAGGACTATCGAAAGTTAGCAGAGGTTCAGGGCACGCGTATGATCTTTGACTTACGCTTCAGCTGCTCCTTTGTCAGGTTGTCCTTGTTCTTGTCAAAGTCGAAGAACTCCTCTGGAATCGGGTCGGCGGTCGGCTCGTCATCTGGGTCGTGGTAGGGTTCAAGGTACGGGTGCTTGAGCGCATCCTCGACTGTAATACGCTTGACGGGGTTGAAAGCGAGTAACCGCTCAAGCAGGTCAAGCGCCAGGTCGTTGGTCTTGGGGAACATGGCCTTCCACGGGATCTTCTTCTTGAAGGGCAGCGATCGGATGTATTCGCGAGCTCGGCGGGACTTGATACCGTAGTAGTCTTCCATGGTGGGTGTGCCGAGCACATCGAGAATCAACGTAAGCTGGTGGTGGTCTGATGATTGTTAGTAACAGTTCCGAGAACAGTACTGGCACAACACTTACAGTCCTTTCCTGGGAACAGAGGCTTTCCGCTAAGCATCTCTGCTAGAATGCATCCCACACTCCATACATCGATGGCCTTTGTGTACTCCTTGAAGGTAAGCATAATCTCGGGCGCACGGTACCATCGCGTTGCAACGTATTCCGTCATGAACCCGGAGTTGTCCTCAGTCGAGGCAGCTGATCGAGCCAGACCGAAATCGCAGACCTTGAGATCGCAGTTGGCGTTGAGGAGCAAGTTGGAGGGCTTGAGATCGCGATGAAGCACGTTTGCGGAGTGCATGGCCTTCAGCGCGCGCAGGGTCTGGTAGATGAAGTACTGGCAATGGTCGTCCGAAAGCTCCTGTGTGCGAATGACGCGGTGCATGTCGGTCTCCATGAGTTCCTGGGTACAGGGTTAGTGACCACGAATGCCATGAGATGTTGGAGTTACAAACCTGGATCAGGTACACTTCGGTGAAGGTCTCGTAGTTCCGAGGCTTCTGGATGTCGAGAATGGAGATGATGTTCTCGTGATTGAAGTACCGGAGTAGCTTCATCTCTCGCAGTGTTCTCAGACAGAACATGGAGTGGTCAAAGGGCGTGATCTTCTTGATGGCGACCTTCTGGCCTGACGGCTTGTGTAATGCGGAGCTGTCGCGTGGTTAGCAGCAGACTGGCTGGTACTGACAGGTGAAGCCTACCAAACAACACCGTATGCGCCCTCTCCGACGACATCTTGGATATCGTACTGCTCTGAGACATTGAAAGAGATCTTTCTAGAGCTGCCACTCCCCGCTGGAGGCATGTTGGCGATTGTTGTGGTTGGGACGCGCTGATGCGCAGTGAATTGGGTCAATTGAGCTGGGCTCAGTGATTGCGGGGTCGCGATTGCTGGATAGTCGGCAGGTGAAGAGCTGAAGAGGCGGAATGAGGATGCGTCTGCGGTGGTTCAAGTAGAATCTACAAATGCGCTGGTCAGCTTTGGGTCCTAGAAGGCTATATGGCAAGCATTGTTCGCAGAACAGCAGGCGTGTCTTGCGCGCGCTGGTGAAACGGCACTGTGTCAGACACTGAACCAGCCCCACGTGCTGTGCCCTTTGAGCCGCAGAAGGTGTTCATGGCGGCAACGCGCACGTCAGAATACAAAGAACGACATGTGCTATTCGCCCCCACCTATGCATCCGCTCGTATCGTTTGACTTACCACAGAACTGTGTTTGTTGGAGTCGAGGCCTGTGCAGTGCCCGGTTCAACGAGGCGTGTACTTGGTCGTGCCTGATGGAGGCGCTCGTCTTTAGCCGTTTAATGACGCTGGCTACCGAGAGATGTCGTCGACCAACCGATTGGAGCTGGAGCGGCTGCGCTTCGGAGCTTCTCGAGGATGCTGGGGTGATGCCCGCGCAAGGTGGAGAGGGAATGAGGCGGTGACAGAAAGGAGACGGATAAGGTGGGGGCAGGGTCTGTTGTACCGCCAAGTCAGTCCCAGATGCGCGATCTCAACGTGGGAGCGGGAGGGAACGTGGCGACGTACCGTAGCCCGTGGCTTCTTCCGTCGGCGTTCCAAGGTTGTGAAGGACGTGTCTTCACGGAAGCAGATGTTGCGGAGAGCACAGGGAAGGTGCGATGGCGTGTGTTTGTTGCTGCGGCGGGCGCGCTTTCCAAGTGGGATGGATGGCGGGGTCAAGCTGCTCAGCGCCAAATGCTCTCAGGTACGCTCTATTGCGACAATACAATACACGACAATACGAAGCGGCAAGGACGAATGCGCGTGAGATTCACTAATCAACAATAACAGCAGCATGCACCGCTTATGGACTGCAAATATACCTCCCCCAGGTGGCAGTCTCCGTTTGGTGTCCGCGACGGCCGCCGCCATTCATGGATACTTTGGGCTAACCGCCGACGTGATCCAGCCATTGTGTGAGCTGCGCGAGTCACATCCTGTGATTACTGCGATATGCACGAGAGCCATCTCAAACATTCGAGAATCGTCTCGCTAGCAGGATCTACCACTACTTCATGACCGCGTGCAGGACATCCCAACGGGGTCCTGGGGAGTTGCTTTTTCTGCTTTCCCCGCATCTGCCCAATGCCAGTTCTCAGTCGCTGCCTTTTCCATCACCACATGCGCCTCTTGCTGCAGGGTGGCTGCCTGTCATTCACCTCGTCGCTGAAGCTCATGGCGGAGGATCCTGTAGGGCCATGGCTGAAACTGGCTAGTTGCAGGGGCCTAGTTCCACATCTGCAACGGCTATACTTAGCAGACCCATTATGAGACCAGCCTCACCATGGCGGGTGTGCCCTCTCCGAACCCATTGGTTCGCGCGCCTTCTCTCCAACTCAACCACCACCAACCGTCCTATTCTTACCTTTCCAATGGTCTGGCACAAGACTTTTGACGGTCTTGTTATTGCGCTGTACGCGCCACGCATCTGCGTTGGCATTTTCTTGGGGTCCGATTGGAAGGGAGATGCCTCACTGGCCCGGCACCCGTCGACATCATAGCTGTTTGACTTCGAAGCATCTGAGACTTCCAGAAGCTGTTTCAAATGGCCGCCGAGCCTTGCTAACAGGATTGAGGCCTCAACTTACCCGCTTCAGGGTCTAAAATGACAGCTTCTGTCATCACCACGGTCCAGATGTTTCCACTGTCCTCCGTGGTCACCGTGGTCACCGTGCTACAAAGCTGGTGGTGGCATGTCGTAGCTCCCAACACCATGCTTCTGGAACGGGCGACAGACAAAGATGCCAGGTCCCGCAAGACCGTGATGAAGGCCTCGTCGTGCAAGGCGCACCTTGTATCCCCGTCATCGACAAACGTGCTGGTGATCATTCGAACGGTTGTGCTGACATGTGCAACAGGCACAAGGCCCAGACAAGGCGATCTACACAGCACTACAGCATGCTGGTCACCAGCGACAAAGCAGTCTTCAAAAGGTAGAATTGGGTATGTATTGCGCATCGCTAACGCTATCAGATATCGTATCCATGCGTCGTTCGTATCGTAAATCATCACGCCTGTACTCCATATGTTCCCAGACTCCGAAAAGAGCAGCCCTTCATCCCGTATCGTCCCGTCGCTAGGCCTTCGAGCTCCTCATCCAAGCCGGTAGTCATGCCGAAGATAGTGAGCCCATGGGAGGGTATTGTGTGCCTTGTTGTTCGACTCGGGGTGCGCATGTGCACCATTGCTCTTTGGGAGTGTTGTCCATGACGCCGGCGACGTGTTTACCACAGCCCCACCATGTGGTCTTGTCTGAAGCGATGTTAGCCGTGCTCGTACAACAGAATCGTAGCAGGTGACATACTGCAGGAGTCGCAGGAAGCCTTCTTGCACATTGTGAATGTGTAGTTTATTATGGATATCGAGTATATGTGGCGATGCCGACGATGTGCCGATGAAGGTATGCCGAACGCAAGAGGAAGTATGCCGAAACCTTTTCGTAGAGTCCGGTAGCGTATATCGTGGTATAACAGTAGTCTCGAATTGCGTATCTTGGTTGACAGAGATCTGGAATGCACTCGGTCCGCTCAGCAACCCACCGAGACCCTTATATACACCTACCTTCCTCCGCAATCCCACATACCCTCCTCGCCGAACCCCCCTACACACGGCGAACACACTACCTCACTGCGGTGAGGCATGATAAATTCCCTCGGGCTCTAGTTCACCAATCCCACCCCGGAAGACTGGGCCTCTGCATCTCATTGCGGGGACCTGATTGGCTGCCTAATGATTTGTCCGAACTATAGTCGGCGACCACATTCGGCGAAGTACCACTTTAACGCCAGACGCTTTTTTCGCTGCGCACGCGGGTTTAGTGCACGGGAGCGGCGTGTGTTAGAACCTATAGTACGGGTCCGTTGCCGAGCCATGTACATGGTGAGGATCGGAGAGGAGTTTTTGGGGTCGGTGTGCGGGCTTGGGTGTCCCCGTGGAGTGGGCATGTGGAGGGTCAGTGTGGGCTTTTGGTGGTGATGGAAGCGTAGTGCATTGGATAGGCGAGTTGTTGTCGTTATGGCGGTCGGTTGGCGCATGTGGATACATGCGTATTTGAGATTCACGATGGTAGCTAGGAACAAGTGCATACGGTATGATGAGGTGGCTGAAGCCTTCTTCTCGTATGGACCTGAGGATACGCAGGTTTGGAAATCGTACGATTGTTCAGGCACGGTATAGCCGGAAGCTATAGGACAGGGGATTCTCTTCAGCTCATGCATAAGATGGGATATTCGTTACGAAGAATGAGATATTGTGCAGACTCGTAATTACTAAACACATCGCGATCTACAACAATGCACACTACCGGGACTTTTGCTTTGCATGATCCGAAACGCCTCCGCTAGACAAATGCTTCTAGGTCTACAAGTCGATCTTCGCGCTGCAGCTGTAGCCGGCGGCATCTACTTCGCCGACCAGCTTCGTTACGAGATGCCGAGTCCGCTTTTGACAACACGCAGCTAGACTCATGCGACTTAGTCAAAAGTAATCTTAGTAGCTGCCTTGGAGTCTCCGGTGTCTTTGTAGAAGGCGCCGTATGCACCGTGCTCCTTCTTCTTGACAGTTGTACCGAACTTCATCAGCTCTTCGGGTACGGGCTGGTTTGCTGCCTTGAGGACGTTGATCAACCTAATAATAGAGTCAGCACACTGAAAACATGTAGCCAAGCGCAAGGGGTACTCACGATCCGGAGAGTGCTTTGTCGTGTTCCGTGAAGAGCGTGATCGCCAAACCCTCCTTTCCGGCACGACCCGTTCTACCAATCCTGTGAACGTAGTCCTCCGCCGTCAAAGGGAACGTGACATTGATGACGAGTTTCACGGCAGGAATGTCAAGACCTCGTGCAGCAACATCCGTCGCCACGAGGAGGGGCACATGGCCTTCCTTGAACGCTGCCAGTGAGGCGCTGCGCCTTTCTTGGCTCAGGTCGCCGTGGATGCCACCCACGCGGAAGCCCTGTCTGCGAATGAAATCCTCGATGCGCATTGCTTCCTTCTTGTACAGACAGAAGACGAGGATACGGTCGTCCTTGTTCTTGCCAGATTGATACTGTCTAAGTAGCTGCAGCAGACGCTGCTCTTTGCCGCGGGGATCGACAACCTCGACAAGCTGCTTAATGCGCACATTGGCGCGGAGCTCGCCAGACTGGTTGTCGCCGATTGTGATTCTAACCGGCGAGTTCATGAAGGTGGATGCAAGATCCCGGACGGAGGGCGGCCACGTAGCAGTAAACATGAGGGTCTGGCGCTTTTTGGGCGTCTGCGAGATGATTTGCCGAATTGCTTCTTCGAAACCCTTATCAAGCATGCGGTCGGCTTCATCAAGTACTACGTACTCGGCTTTGCTGAGATCTGCTGAGCCATCGCCAATGAGGTCGTTCAAACGACCGGGCGTAGCGACCACGATATGCGCCTTCTTGCAAGCGGCAACCTGAGGATCTTTTGGCACACCGCCGTACACGCAGACTACAGATAGTCCAGCCGGTGTCGCCAACGCTACCAACTGGTCGTAGATCTGAACAGCCAGCTCACGCGTGGGTGAGACAATGACAGCCTTGACACCCTTCCGCTCGTTCTTGGGCAGCGCTGCGATGTAGCGCACACATGGTACACCAAACGCGAGCGTCTTGCCGGAACCTGTCTCAGCAACACCAACCATGTCTCTGCCTGAGAGCAAGTATGGCCACACGGCTGCTTGTATAGGTGTAGGGGCGCTGAACTTGGCGAAGAAGGCGCGTTGCGCATCGTCGACCGGGAGGTACTTGAAGTTCAGGATGGGACGGAGCTTGCGAGCGGCGGGTTTGGG